CCGTTTCTTCGCGCCGCGGCCAGAAGCAGTATGCCCGTCGGAGTCAGTTTCTGGTCCTGATAAGAACCCATCGTTCTCCCCTTTGTGTGCCATAATCGTCACCGTTGAGAGAGCCGCCTTGAGGGGCCAATCGTCAATTATTGCCCCGTGAAGGGCAGGGAGGGGAAAAGAGGAGGCGAGCCTTTTTTTTTTTTTTTGAGATTAAAGAAGAAGTAGAGTAGTGAGAGAACAGATAATTAAAAGGAAAAGATTTTGAGTGTGAATGGTAGAATAAAGGCCAGAAAAAAGTTAGCAAGGCTAACCCTAAGCTGCTCTCCCTACTGAGGCAGGAAAAGAACTGAGCCTGGGTGACTCCCATCAGGAAACAGGAAGAAGTTTTTTCTTACTTAGTCCTGCCTCCCTAAAGAAGGATGGGAATCACCCACAAGATGGCCTCCGCCTCAGGGGAGAACAGGTAGTTCTCTGTGTGGCATTTCACATTCAGTTGACGTATGCCGCCTAGCTGAGAAGTGTAACAGGTACGCCAGCTAGTAGCTGAGAAGGCCTTTTTGGTATTGTTGATTCTTAGTTTTCTAGACAAAGCATCCGAGCGGCATCAAACTGCTTAGGTTTCAGGGAAGCTAACATGCAGCAAGAGCAGCCTATCTCCAACTGAGGATAAATATTCTAATATACACACACACCCCTTTTTTTTCAAACATAGAATCACTGGTTTTCTGCTTCTGAGAGGGTCTGTGTATACTATATAATTTCAAGTGCCTCATTTATTTTGCTGAAAGCTAGCATACCACATGTGCAAGATTGAGAGGTTAATTAAGTATATTACAAGATACTATCTTACTGTTATTGCCAGAACAATGCATTAATTTTTTTCATTACAGTAGAATCTCTATCTAAGTAACATCTTGGGATCCATTTACTTGATCCTTTTAGTATAACCAAATGTAGGTTGGCTTGTTTCAGTCAAGTGTATTAAAAGGAGTGTCTGAATATATAGTAGGGTATTAAAAATGACAATATTGATAAAAATGTACCTGACCAATGTGACCAAATGAAATGGTTTGTACAGCTTTTGGGGAAACACAGTTACTTACTTATTTTTTGGCTTTATTTCTAGGGTTGCAATAGTTTCTAAGACTTTTGAAGGAAAAACTGATAGAACGGAAAAGTGGTACGGAACCCAATACAAGCAAGAAGCAATTTCTGATGAAGTCATTAAGGTGTGCTAAGAAAATTGATAGTGTCTGATTCTTGAAAGTGATCTCAAATATGTGGCCTTTATTTTCACGCTACTGCAAAGGAAGATTCCCCCCCCCCCCCCCCCATAACTGCAACTGAATGTTGCTTGTACAAGCAGTTTGCATTAATGGAAATTGGCTGGTGTTATGAAGAAAAATTCCACTGCACTGACGGCACTGTGGATAGCTTTATTGCAGCGGGCTCACCATATTTAACACATGTTTGAAAAGCTCTATTAAAATATTTGTTCAGGTTTCTTCTTTTTTAAAGTTGAGGAGGACTTATCTTCTTTAAAAGTAGTTGTTTGAGATGAAAGAAATGGGATGTTTGACAATTCGTCTTGTGTCCCCCCCCCCCCCCCAAAACTCCTGTTCTGCGCGAACGTTATAT